CATGGACCAAATCCACTGGAAGAAGGTTGTAGACATCAAATATATGTAGACTTTTGATTCCTTACTCTGTTCTTGGTTTTTTTAATTAAAAAAAAAAATTTATACATCCTGACATTTCATCAAAGTCGTTCATTTAACACCAATACCAATAGTCAGCTGGGGGGCTGTGGTTTCTTAAAAACAAACAAACGGTGAAGAAACATCTCCCCTTCACATAGTTAAATGTGGTAAAGCAAGTGTACACTTCAACATATAGAAGGTTTGGAAATGTAATGCAATCCTCAATGTATCCTAGTCATCCTACTCAAACTCAAACTCTTGGATATAAACATGAGTCAGTTGGCTGTGTCAATATTTAGCAGGAACACTGGGCCAGCTATCCTGGTAGAGCAAAACAGAACAGTCACATCAGACCGCTGGAAGCAGTCATTCATCTGTGCCAAGAAATTTGGAAGACGGTTTCCTGGCCAATCAACTGGAGGAGGTCCACATTTATGCCCATTCCAAAGAAAGATGATCCAACAGGATGTGAAAATTATCCAACAATATCGTTTATATCACATGCAAGTATAATTTTGCAAAAGATAATTTAAAAAAGGTTGCAGCAGTACAAGGAACTGCCAGAAATCCAAGCCAGATTCAGAAGAGGTTGTAGTACCAGGGATATCATTGCTGATGGCAGATCGATCTTGGCTGAAAGCAGAGAATACCAGAAAGATGTTTACCTGTGTTTTATCAACTATACAAAGGCATTCGACTGTGTGAATCTTAACAAATTCTGGATGACATTGTGAAGAATGGGAATTCCAGGACACTTATTGTGCTCATGTGGAATCTGTACCTAGACCAAGGAGAGTCATTCTAAAACAACAGGAGGATACTGCATGGTTTAAAATCAGGAAAGGTGTGCATCAGTGTTGTATCCTTTCACCATACTTACTCAATCTGTCTGCTGAGCAAATAATCTGAGAAGCTGGACAATATGAGAAGCATGTGAGATTAGGACTGGAGGAAGGCTCATTGACAACCTGCAATATGCAGATAACACAGCCTTGCTTGCTGAAAGCAAAGCACTTACTGCTGAAGATCAAAGACTATGGCCATCAGTATGGATTACACCTCAATATAAAACAACAATCCTCATAACTGGACCAGTAGGCAACATCATAATAAATGGATAAAACATTGAAGTTGTTAAGGATTTCATTTTACTTGGATCCACAATCCATGCCCATGGAAGTAGCAGTCAAGAAATCAAGCAAAATATTACATTGGGCAAATCTGATTCAAAAGACCTCTTTAAGGTGTTAAAAAAAAAAAAAAAAAAAGATGTTATTCTGAAGACTATGGTATGCCTGACCCAAGCCATGGTATTTTCAGTTGCTTCATATGCATGCAAAAGCTGGACAATGAATCAGGAAGACCAAAAAAGAATTGATGCCTTTGAATTAGAGTGTAGGTGAAAAATAATGGTTATACACTGGACTGCCAGAAGAGCAAACAGGTCTGTCTCGGAAGAAGTACAGCCAGAGTGCTTCTTAGAAGTAAGGATGGTGAGACTGTCTCACGTACTTTGGACATGTTATCAGGAGGCACCAGTCCCTGGGGAAGGGCATCATGCTTGGGAAAGTAGAGGGTCAGCAGTAAAGAGGAAGACCCTCGAGATGAACTGACACATTGGGCTCAAACATAGTAATGGTTGTGAGAATGGTGCAGGAACGGGCAGGGTTTCTTTCTTTTGTATGTTGGGTCACTGTGAGTCAGACCGACTCGGCAGCATCTAACAATAATGACCAGGCCAGCTGCCCTGGTATAGAAAAATGGAACAGTCACATGAACAGTATGCTTCACTTTTGAATGGAGATTAAAGTCAGCAAACTTCAGGTCAAATTCTGGAGTTCCTGATTTCTCAACACTGTGTTGCTTCCTTTTGCGCCCTTTTTCCATGAAACAGTTTTACTGGAGAACTTAAATTATGTATTTGGTTAATGTTTGTTGAGCGCAACGCTATTTATTTGACTGATATTTCATTTTCCTGGATTCTGGGCACAAAGCTGACCGTGGGCCACACAGTCAACAAGCTCACTGCATTGGGCTTTTCCTTGGCCTTGCTCTCCTTCAGTGTGGTCTCCTAACACAGAGATGAATGACTGGGCATTCTGACCACTATGGCTTTCCACTCAGATTCTGTGCATAGCATTTCTCATTCAGCAAACACTGCCAACCTGCTGGATGCCTCAGGACTAGGTCTAGAAGGGAGTCCTTTCCTCAGCTTCCTTTTCCATGCCACTGTGTGGACAGTTTGTCTTTTTTTAGAATTCATTGCACTACAGTGGAGTTACTTGTTAAAATACGTGCCTTCCTAGGCAGTGAGGCTTTTTAGAACAGAGGCTCCATCACAATTGACTTTATCTGCCCACTGCCTGAGATGATTGTTCACAGTATGGCTGGTGAATTAATATTGAGTCAATGTACATTCCCTTAATTTTAACATCTTTCTAATCTTGCAAATCATAGAGTTAGAACATCCTCCCAAACTGAAGGAATTATTTCTTGTGTATGATTATAGTAGATGATATTTCTCATTCTAGGCCTCTAAACTATTTATAATGTTGGATAAAATAAAAAAATTAACTTGGAATGATGATTTTTGAGGAAATAGTAAGCTCCTCTGGTCCACACACGAGACCTCATATTTCACTTTTCCTCTTCAGTGTCTAACATAGCATGGGGGTCATAAATACTTGCTGATTGCATATGCTTCATTCAGAACTCTGAAATGCCAGTGGTGAAGACCAACTGTAACTTAAGGCAAAACGGAATTGTGTTGACTTGTGTAATTGAGAAGTTTAGGAACTGATCTCAGGGACTGTATATCCATCTATTGCCATCAAGTTGATTCCATCTCCCAGCAGCCATAAAGGACAGAGTAGGACTGCCTCATTAGGGTTTCCAAGGCTGTAAATCTTTACAGAAGCAGACGGCCACAGAATGGAGAAAGTTGGCTTTCTTCTACTGAAGACATCTTCCTCTATACAGCATGGTGAAAGAGAGGCATGATAGGCATATACCATCCAACTTAACAAAATCTTCAAGATGTCTCTTCACTCTCCCTCTCCCATTTCCATGTATAAATATCAAAGGACTCTAATTAGTTCAACTTGGGGTCATGTGCTCATCCCTAAGCCAATCAGTGTGATTGGGGAAATTCTTCCAGTTGCCTTTGAATTGACCCCAACTCATTGCAATCTCGTGTGTCAGAGCAGAACTGTACTTTGTAGGGTTTTAAGTGGCTAATTTTTCAGAAATAGATCACAAGGCCTTTCCTCCCCAGAGTTTCTGAGTGAACTCAAGCCTCCAACCATTCGGTTAGCAGATGAGTGCATTAACTATTTGTACCACCCATGGATTATGACCAGAGTATAGGTGCTACAATAAAATTGGCAGCCTCCTTGAACTGTATGGTATGATGGAGGTGCATTTCTCCAAATAGGAGAGATATATTCTAAATCAATAAATAAGAAGCAAGAAAAGAATGTAGGTGATCAAAACAATAAATAATCTCAGCATGAATGTTCTGAAATTTCAAAAAAAAAGAAAGAAAGAAACACACCACCATCAAGTCGTCCCCAACTCATAGTGACCCCTCCTTGGGTTTCATGAAAAATGTTCAAGGAGCACCTCAACAAAGGAAAATGTTGGCATTATGTAAAGGTGGCTCCTCTTTATTCTTTGTGAAGATCAAACTTTTAAAACTTAGGTAATGTTTTAAGTATGTTAAACATACTCCTGGAGACACAATTTCACTTAATTACAGGTGGTCTAAAATTCAGAAACAAATCTTTTCTGTCAGTCAGACTTCCGGATATCTAATCAGTTTTTCTTCCTTAATTTCATAAAGTGCAAATTGGAGACGCATTCCTCTGGAAATGTATGTAAAACTAATAAAAACAATGAATAATATTATGACATTGTATGTTTCCCTTCTGAAAAAAATTTTACACTGAGCCTGGGTAAGGATCGGTGAAGTGTGGCAATGGAAAAGATTTCTTTATTGACTCAGAAGTTTGACAAAATTATGTTCCACAGAGTTGGCCAGGAGGGTGGACATATCAGTGACTGAGTACAACTCAACAACGCCACTAGAAATACACTAGAAATTCATGTTTTAAACGCAGAGACCAACTCGTTACTCAGGAGGATAGTTGTTGTTGTTATTTGCCATCCAGTCAGACCCGACTCATAGCGACCCCTCCTTGGGTTTCCGAGGTGGTATCACTACGGAAGTAGATTGCCCCATCTTCCTTCCGAGGAGTGACTGGTGGGTTTGAACCGCCAGCCTTCTAGTTAGCAGTCAAGTGCCTTAGGCATTATGCTACCAGAGCTCCGCAGGAGGAAAATAGCACTCAGAAAATACAAACTTTCAGGCCTTTATGCCACTATCAGGGTTCACCTTACCAGTAATGGCTGCTGTGTTCATTGCCTGCAACTCAGAATACATTTCCCATTTTAAAAAAAATCAATTCTTTCAGATTTGAGTGTCAACCACAAAGGTCTATTAAACGCTTAACTTCCTGAAGTATAATATTCTATCAGCTACCTCCGACCACCATTGATAATTCTGTTACTCTAAAAAAAAAAAAAAAAAATGCATTCTTAATTCTTATCTTTGAAAGAGTTGGCTTTTCCCTCGAGTAACACCTGGAGGTAAATTCTAAAACAAAAGGCAAGTCCCTTTGAATTTCTTATACACCTCTAAATCATTGATTGCCAGGTGATTGGACAAAGAAGAGCAGTTCTGCTGTCGTGAGGGCACTGGTTTGAGACTCTTAAAGAGTATAATAGGAGCTTAAATGAGTAAATCAGTCGTTATATTTTAATTTTACTTTATCTGTCATTCCATTCTTTAAATGAAAAAATTGTCCTATATCATTCCATCGAAAGTTAATATCATACATAGAATAGACTTGATGAAGGTAATTTTATTTTCAAAGGTGGCTGAAGCCAAACTGTTTTGTACAATTAATGGAGAGCAGAAAAGACATCGCAAACCAAGAAGAACTTTGGAAGATGAAGCCTAGGAGAAATCTAGAAGATGATCATTTGGTAAATAACAATTACAATTAATAATTCAAATCTATAAACATAATTCAAATGTCATTCTATATCTTCTAGTGTTCTTAAAGTGATTTTCACCCTAGTATGCTAGTACCTTACTCTGATTCCTGTCACTAATATTTTGATGGGTGAGGGACTGTGACATATGAGAGAAATAGTATTGGACTGATGGTCAAGGGTTTAGCTGAATGACCTTGAAAAAGTCACTGAAAATCCTTGTTCTTAGTTTATCTATAAAGTGAGAGAGACCAGATGATTTCAAGGCCTTTCCAATTCTTCTAATATTCTGTGGTTCTAAGTTTAAACCAAAAAAAGAAAAAGTCAAGCTTGCCAGTATAACAGTAGTTGTGCAAACAAGCATTATTTTTCCATCGGTATTACGTCAACTTACCCAGAGAACAGCAAGCAAATTGATGAATCACTGTTTCACCAAACAAATTAACTTGTGGAATGAGAGTCACTTGTCCCACTTTGCCCCAGCCTAGGCTTCAATGTTTCTGACTACGTTATTTGAAAAAGTAGTGGAAATTTTGGGTTCCTAACTCTTAAATGATCTCAATTGCACTTTTAACAGAAATTATTTATTTCCCATTATTAATGGGAAAAATAATTAAGAACTTACAAGCACATAACTCTATAAAAATAAGTGCATATAATAAAATTGCTTTCACTTTTCAAGTTAAATATTATTTGCTATTTTTGTCATTTTTCACCCTTAACCAAGAGATTGGATTCCGGTTGATTCTTACAGCAGCTCGCCTGTTTTAGCATGCAGAGGTGATGGAAGATTCTCAAACCCATCAGTTCCATTCTAATGGAGTAATTTGAAAAAGCATCGACTATAACAGTGATTTATTAAAGTAAACTTCAAATAGCAAAAGAGATCATTGTCAACACTAAAAATTATAGAGAACTACATGAATTAAAGTTACTCTGCATAAAATGAGGATATGAACAGGATAATCACTAACATCATTTCAAGCATTAAAATGTTACGGTACTACATACACAGCTCTAAGACATGAGGAAACAATTGTTACTAAGTGAGAAAGTAAATTCAGTCATTTGTTGTTGTTGTTGTTTGCCATCGAGTCGGACCCGACTCATAGCGACCCCTCCTTGGGTTGCCAAGGCAGTATCACTACAGAAGTAGATTGCCCCTTCTTCCTTCCGAGGTGCAATAGGAAGGGAGCTCTGGTAGCATAGTGCCGAAAGCATTTGACTGCTAACCAGAAGACTGCTAATCCATCAGCCACTCCTCAGAAGGAAGGTTGGACAATCTCCTTCCATAGTGATACTGCCTCGGAAACCCAAGAAGGGGTCGCTATGAGTCGGATCTGACTCGACAGCAGTGAGTTTGGTGTTTTGGTTTTGAGGAGTCCTAGCAAGTGGCTTATCTCTTCAGCGCCCCATTTTCTTCATCTGTGTAATGGGAATAACAACAGTACCTCCGTATCAGAAAGGATTGCTGTGCAGATTAAATATGACAATACGTGCAAAGTACATAGAAGTGTACCCGGTATTATGATGGTAAAAATGATTATGAACTTGTTTCACTATGAATTAAATAAAATACTGCAACTTAATTTATTCCATTTTAAAAGGAAGTTCCTTTAGAAACATTAAACAGTGAATTTGTAGCAGTATTGAATACAATAATGAGTAAGATCTGACTCCATGGCAGTGAGTTTGGTTTTTTGGTTTTTAGCACAATAGGAAACAATGTCTTATATGATATGCTCTTATTTTGAGGGTTTTGTGTTCTGTTTTTAGTTTACTAGTATGAAGGTTGGGGGAGCTCTGGTAGCATAGTGGCTAAGACACTTGCCTGCTAACCAGACGGCTGGCGGTTCAAACCCACCAGCCACTCCTCGGAAGGAAGGTTGGGCAATCCTACTTCCATAGTGATACTGCCTCGGAAACCCAAGGAGGGGTCGCTATGAGTCGGGGCCGACTCGACGGCACATAACAACAACAACAACAACAAGTATGAAGGTTGGGCAATCCTACTTCCATAGTGATACTGCCTCGGAAACCCAAGGAGGGGTCGCTATGAGTCAGGGCTGACTCGACGGCACATAACAACTACAACAGTATATCAGTCAATCAGGGAAATAACAGATTTCAATGAAGGCACTTTTTAAATTGTTGGCTACCTAGTAATGTAACTGAATGACATATAGCTTTCTCAGGAAATACAGCATCACTGTGAGATTTGACTATTTATATAGCATAATACCCTGTGTACCTTCTAACAGAATTTTTTTAACAGATGAATTATTTCAAAAATATAAATCAAAGTTTAAGACTACATGATGGAAATTACATATTTATATATGATTATAATGACTGTATTATTCCTGATCTTTATACTTCACTTGAAAAAAATTCACTTTTCAAAGCTTTGTGCAGAATTGTCTAGTAACCAATAAAAAATATCATAAGAGAAACACAGTTGTCACAACCTGCAAGTTTTATTATCTTTACAAGGCTTAATGTTTGTTTGTTCTTTTTAAATGAGACAAATTATTCTTACTCCCAAATGAATGTGTTTAGTTAACAGTGATTCATCACTTTGCTTCAGGGCCTTGAACCTGGGTATCTTGTAGAAATCAGACTCTGATTCAGTACACCTGGGGTGAAAAATGCAATTTCTCAGCAGAGGGTCAAACTGGGAAGAACCAGTTGGAAGCTGTCATTGGATTGACGATCTCTTGGTAAACTACCATGATACCAATGGGAAAAAATCTTGCTTACACAATTTCCTAGGTTGCCTTATAGCATTCTTTTATGCCTTCAAAAGAGAAGCACTATGGTCTAAGCTTTAGTGGAGGTATTTGAAGCATGCACATCATCTGTCTTTAAAAATAAAAAATAAAAAAATGAATAACAAAAATTAATGGAAAGGCCCTATATAGCTAAAGGCACCATTAGTCAGTACTACATACCCTATGCCATCTTCAGCTAACCAGTAGCCAAAAGGAGATCTAAAATGCCCTTTTTCACTGATATGCTCAACGATTGAGCAGTAAGTAATTAGTTTAAGAGCAATTCCGTTGTTTTGTCCAGTTTTATTTAGGATATTTCTTTTCTTTTCTTTGTAGACTAAGGACTCAGGAGAGATCAGCATGCTGAAAAGACCTGTGCATTTGGATTTGCACCAGACAACCCCTTTTGATGAATTTGATTGCCCCCCAGAGCTTCAGCACAAACAGGAACTCTTTCCAAAATGGCGTCTGCCAATTAAAATAGCTGCTGTCATATCATCTCTGACTTTTCTTTACACTTTTTTGAGAGAAATTATTCATCCTTTGGTAACTGCCCATCAGCAGTATTTTTATAGGTTTCCCATCCTGGTCATCAACAAAGTTTTGCCAGTGGTTTCTATCACGCTCTTAGCACTGGTTTATTTGCCAGGTGTGATAGCATCAGTTGTACAGCTTCGTAATGGAACCAAGTATAAGAAATTTCCACGTTGGTTAGATAGGTGGATGTTAACAAGAAAGCAGTTTGGGCTTCTCAGTTTCTTTTTTGCTGTACTACATGCAATTTATAGTCTGTCCTATCCAATGAGGCGATCCTACAGATACAGGTTACTAAACTGGGCATATCAACAGGTAGGATGATGATGTTGTCAACATTACTAAGTTTAAAAGTCTGTGTCACCTGAAAATTAACCATTGTAATATCACTATAGGATAGAAATTATAATATATTTATACCTAATAGATACAATAATAGATCCCTCTTGAAAACCTGTGTTGAGAAAGAAATCTGCATTTTAAATTTTCATTATAACTCTTTATTGGGGCTGGTTGTACAGTTTTCCATTAAGGAATTATTTTTTAAGCTGAATATAATAAAATGTAACTTTAACAACATAAATTTTTTGTTCATGGTCAGGGCCACCTTTCTGCCACCCTCACAAGATTACTTTTTAATGATGATAGTTTTTGGGTTTTACTTCTTTACAACACATGCTTGTACCAAGTAAACTTTCAAATAATCATTAAATAAATTTAAAAAAATAGATTATATAAATATTGCATTCAAGGAAAAAGAGATAACTCCTGTGTCATTTTTCTTAGGGGAGTGAGAAAAGGTCATAAATGTATGGGGGTCCCCAGTTATCAGAGCTTCCATAGTAGGCAGAGGTAGTGTAGAAGGAAATTAGGAGAGTAAAATGCAGGAAACAAGTGTCTTTTGCATTTTCTCTTTTTTCACACCCTGGTAGGTCCAACAAAATAAAGAAGATGCCTGGATTGAGCATGATGTTTGGAGAATGGAAATTTATGTGTCTCTAGGAATTGTGGGACTTGCAATGCTGGCTCTATTGGCTGTGACATCTATACCATCAGTGAGTGACTCTTTGACATGGAGAGAATTTCACTGTATCCAGGTAAACAATATAGAAAATTACTCTGGTCTCTCAAAAGAAAGAAATCTTCTATCTGCACTTAATAGTATCCTTAGTATATTGACTTTATCCCATAAAAAATAACATGTTTTCTAACAGTAAAAATCCTACATTTGTTCTAATTAACAATGTACTCTACTTTATTTTTCCCTTTTGCTTCTAAATAGGAAAAGAGTTTTTCAAACATAAGTAAAAAGTATTACTCAGATTTTTAAAAAAAGTATTATTTCTAACATTTGAATCTTGTTATTTTTTTGTGCAACTTACTACCCACCTAATAACTACAAATATAATATATTAGGTATCCAATATCCATGGTTTGTTAGCTCACGGAAAACAAAGATATTCTTTTACCTATTCCCTGATTTTATTCATTCTTTTTAAATTACACCACTTTGTACTAGCTAAAAAAAGCATCTCTCCTTGCAGTATGGAGTTTTATCAACCAAAAGCATTCTGATATCTAATTTTAAAGGCTTTTTCTCAGCTGCATTTTATGTAACTTACTCACTTGAAGTTTCCAAATATGCTTGGAATTCAAAATCTATCTCAGATTTATTGAAATTAAGTAATTTACAATAGATTACACACCCTGAAGAGAGCAACTTGCCAGAATTCACAAGGTAAGCCATGTCTGACGTGATTCAGAGGACTGCATTGAGCTCAATTATAGGCACTGCCAACGTTTTTTTTAAATTACATAGCTTTAGCTCTATGGGTGGACATTTTTGGAAATTCCCACAGAATCAGACATTCTGCACTGTCCTTTCCACCTGCCCACACATATACTTCAGCAGATACTTTATCAGAGCACCTGATTAGGCTGAAAATTATGTGTCCATCTGAATTACTCCAGTGTGGCTTAGAGACACTGTCACATTCTTGAAGTGGCAAAGCCAAAAATCCCACTGCCATCGACTCGATCCTGACTCACACTGAATGTGTAGGAAGAGTAGAACTCGCCCTAGGGTTTCCAAAGTTGTGAAACTGTGTGGACGCAGACTGCTTCATCTTTCTCCTGTACAGCCACTGATGAATTTGAACCACCAACCTTTTGGTGCAGCCCAGTGCTTTAACTACAGTATCACCAGACCTCCTTTCTTGAAGCACAATATTTGCAAATATTGTAGATTCAGGCTGATAGCCATTGGAATTCTTTGGTCTCATTAAGGGGTTTTCTTCTTATGCTATTCCACCTGTCATGCATATGCTGAGCATGAGTTTTCAGATTTAATGAGGAATTCAGATAATGCATCTTGACAAGTGAGTCAATCCACTCCACTATCTGCACATAATAAATACACAATATGCATTTAGTAAAATTAATCCTCAACCAATCACATTTAGAATCCAAGAACTAGTTATACCTAGAACTAGTTTACCCTAGGTTCATATCTGAAGACATAAACTGAATTATTTGATTGCATTCATGAGAGCTTAAGAGTGCTGTTGAATAATTGTGAGTTGAACTCATTCTGGCAGGCTAATGACCATTTCCAGGAATGTGAATAGAATGTCAAACATCATCTAGAAGAGCTACATATTACATTGGCAGCATGTCATAAATTACATAGGTGAACAACTATTTTCTAAGTAACTTTATCTGGAAAGTGTCAGGCATGTCAGTGCCAGCTGAAATTTTTCTTCACATCTCCATATCTATTTTGTTCAAACATTGAACTATTTTTTTATATTTTTCCATTTTATCAAGTTCTTTTTTTTTTTTTTCTTTTTCTTTCTTTTTGTTTTAGCATAGACCAAGGTCATTCACTTCAGTATTCATTTCCAAAATGAGCATCAATTACTTTAGGTGCCTTCACAATTGATAAAGATCACTGGAGCCACATTGATTTTTTGCAGTGTTCTTTATAGTCAACCCCCTAATATTTATTGAATGCTGAAAACGTGCAAGCCATTCTGTTGATTCCGCAGGGAGTCTGTGATGAGTAAGACATAGTCCTTGACTTTAGATGTCTCTTGACAGAATTAAGGCAAATGCACAAGAGACACAGCACTGTAAAATAAGTGTCATCAGAGAGAACAAAGTGGTAGAGAAGAAGAAGACAGCTTTATCAATCAGCTGAGACCAAAAGGAGAAAAGTTGAGAACTTTTCAAGTTAGATAGTCCAGAGGTAAGACATTACCCAAAGTAAAAGATAAAATGGGGCATGTAAAAAGAATTAAAAAATATGAATGGACATTGTTGAGAAATGTGATAGGAAAACAATCACATATGAATCAAAGAATTTCCAAGCAACAGAACAGATCCAGAGGAGATAGGATGAAGGAAACTCTTTTGAATCTTCATCAAGCTAATCTTTTTTCCTTCTTTCTTTATTTTTGCAGAGCAAGCTAGGAATGGTTTCCCTTCTTCTGGGTACAATACATGCATTGATTTTTGCCTGGAATAAATGGATAGATATAAAACAGTTTGTGTGGTATACACCTCCAACTTTTATGATAGCAGTTGTCCTTCCAGTTGTTGTTCTGATAAGTAAAGCCATACTATTCCTGCCTTGCTTGAGGAAGAAGATACTGAAGATTAGATGTGGTTGGGAAGATGTCACCAAAATTAATAAAACTGAGATGTCTTCCCAGTTATAGGTTACTATTTTTACACATTTTGTTCAATATTGATATATTTTATCATAAAATATTCCAAAATGTATTTGATTAATAAAATGAGCTTTTCAGTGTCTTAATTTTCTCTTTCTTTATGGATAATTACTATATGCAATTTCTTGCATATTTGGTGCAAAGCCTACCCCAAAAAATACTAATCCGTAGTAGGGCAATCTGTGTTCAATAAACTGAACAGTTACAATCATAAACAACCAGAATGAAATAATCACATCTAATTTGCTAGAATGTGTGGCATTATAAATAATAAAAGGCCTTGAAATACCAGTCCATGCTACCCATTACACAGATATCATGAACCACAAATAAATATATTATCTGAATGTCTTACACAAGTAATATCTAATATTTATGATTGCTATTGAAAAAAATTTAAAACTTTCTTTCCTATAATCAAGTTTTATCCATGGAACATATATTTCAAAAAAAAAAAACTGTCTATACAAGTAAAGAAACAAAGTAATATCAGATATATATGTAGGTAAAATAAAACTTAGGCTATCAAGGAGAAAAAGTTCAATTTTGTACTACTCAATTGGAGTTACTTTAATACATTGGAGAAAGTACATTATGAACCAGTCCTCAAAGAGCAACCTATATACTGGATATCAGAACACACTAAGCCAACTGACTGACTGCAGTTATTAAGTATTTCATAATTTGCAAGAGTAACTACAAACCTTACCTTTATTATCATTAAAGACAATAGTTGTTGTTAGATGCCATCAAGTCAGCTCCAACTCAGTGACCCTACGTACAGCAGAGCGAAACATCCCCCTTTCTGTGCCAGTCTCACAATCCTTTCTGGAGCCCATCATTGCAGCCACTGTGCCAACGGTGTAAATATTCACTGTGGTTGTTACATGCCATCGAGTCAATTCCAACTGAGAGTGACCCTACATAAAACAGAAGGAAACATGGTCTAGACCTGTACCATCCTCACAATCACTATACTTGAGCCCATTGGTTGCAGCTACTGTGTCAATTTCATTGAGGGTCTTCCCCTTTTTTCCTGACCTCTACTTCACTAAGCATAATATCCTTCTCCAGAGATTGGTCCTTTCTGACAACATGACTAAAGTATGAGAAAGTCTGACCATTCTCACCTCCAAAGAGCATTCTGGCTTTACTTCCTCCAAGACAGATTTGTTCATTATTTTAGCAGTCCATTCAATATTTTTCACCAATACCACAATTCAGATGCCTCAATTCTTCTGCTATAATCCTTATTAATTTTACAGCTTCACATGAATGTGAGGCTATTGAAAATACCATGGCTTTGATCTAACGCAACTTAGTCTTCAAAGTAACATTCATTCCAAACAACAACAACAAAAAAAAAACTCAACTGCCGTCAAGTCAATTCCAACTCATAGCGACCCCACCTTGGGTTTCCAAGGCAGTATCTCCACAGAACTAGATTGCCCAGTCTTCCTTCTGAGGAGTGGCTGGTGGATTTGAACCACCAGCCTTCTAGTTAGCAGTAAAATGCCTTAGGCACTGTGCTACCAGACATTCATTGTTGTTGTTGTTGTTATGTGCCGTCAAGTCAAACCTGACTCATAGCGACCCCTCCTTGGGTTTCCGAGGCAGTATCACTAAGGAAGTAGGATTGCCCAACCTTCCTTCTGAGGAGTGGCTGGTGGGTTTGAACCATTAGCCTCATTTAAATCATGTACTTGTGTAACAACTAACATGAGAAAATTTAAACCAGCCATTGGAAACTCTGTTTCCAATGGAACCATTGGAGCACAGTAATCAACTCAATGACAAGTGTTTTATAGATACATGATATATTTCTGAAATTCAAACATTTCCTTTATTGATGAGAAAAAAAGACATTCAAAGCAATAAAATATGGATCCAGATCAAAAAGGAAATATTAGAACTGATGAAAATGTAAATAAGATCATAGCTAATGAATTTCTTCATTGTGTTTTTCTGTTATTCTTTGGCCTTTGAGAGTGACATAATTATGATGACATAATGATTTCAATAGCACACTTCATGTATATGTATTTGTTTATGTGTCTTTACTTTTCATATATATGTGTGTATCTACATATATATGCATATTCTTTATATATGTATGTGTGTGTATGAAGTTGTTATTAGGTTCCATCAAGTCAATTCCAAGTCATACCAACCCTATGTACAACAGAACAAAACACTGCCCAGTCCTGCACCATCCTCACAATCGTTGCTGCTTGAGCCCATTTTTGTAGTCACTGTGTCAGTCTATCCTAATGAGGGTCTTTTTTTTTTTTTTTTTTTTGCTAACCCTTTACCAAGCATGATGTCCTTCTCTAGAGACTGGTCCTTCTTGACAACTTATCCAAAGTACATGAGACGAAGTCTCATCATCCTCACTTCTAAGGAGCATTCTGGCTGTACTTCTTCCAAGAAAGATTTGTTCATTCTTCTGGCAATCCATGGCATATTCAATATTATTTATCATGACCATAATTCAAATGCATCATGAAGAGTAAAGATAAATCAATGAGTAAAGAGGGAGAGAGAAATAAATGTCTCTTCTATTAGAAACAAAACTTCATGGGAAAAATACAATAATATATATCCAAATACACCTGCAAATACCATCACAGGAGGAGTAGTATGATAGTGGACAAGAACTTGAATCCTTGAATCAAATATACCTGGAACTGACTCTCAGTGCCAAGTGTTACAAGTTAATGGCCCCAGAAAGCTACGTAACCTCTCAGTGCCTCAATGTTCTTAGCTGTAAAATGAAGATAAAAGTACTACTTACCACACAGATTTTTGTGAGGCATAAATGAGATAAAGCATATAAAGTACTTGGCACAGTGCCTGGCATACATTAAATGCTCAATAAATATTAGCCAATATCATAATCATGTCATCATCATCACCACCATCACTATTTGCAAAGCACTTATACACCTACTCCTCACTTACCAACTATCTTGTTATCTGACATTTCACATTTATGACAATAGTAAAAAAAATCTACTATGTGACTATTTTGTGCATTAACAACACACCTCTGGCAGTAACGAATACCTATGTGTGAGTTGAGAGTAACACTATCTGTGATAGTTAAGGTTATGTGTCAACTTGGTGAAGTCATGATTCTCAATGATTTGGTACTTATTTAATGATGTGTTTTAACAATTATGTAATGATGTGATTTGGTGGTTATGTAATGTTGTAATCTGACAATTATGTAATGATGTAGCCATCCTCAATTTAGTGACTGATACGATGTGCTCATCCTCCATTTTTGCATAATGCTAATTTTTGCATAATGACCTTGTCTTTGGAAAATAACCGTGTTGATAATTGAGGAGTGGATGTAGTGTAACTGAAGCTGTATTTTCAGTCCCAAATACCAGGATCCAAACCCATTGCCTTTGAAACGGTTCCAACTCATAGCAACCCTGTAACACAGAATACAACTACCTACAGGGTTTCGAAGGCTGTAATCTTTATGGAAGCAGACTGTCACATGTTTCTCCCATGGAGCAACTAGTGGCGTCAAATAGCTGATCTTTTGATTAGCAGCCAATCACTTAACCACTGTGCCACCAGTGCTCCTTATATCAGGGCACCAAAAACCAAACCCATTGCCACTGAGTCAATTCTGACTCATAGAGATCAGTAGTAGTTCTTCCAGTCAGCTAGCATTTCCTAGCATGTCACATGAACCCAAAGGAGACATTAGTAGCTGCTGGGTCAGAGACAAAGGAATTTATTACTCACACCAATAGCGGTAGCCAGATGTTGTAGTTAAGGCTACGTGTCAACTTGGCTGGGTCTAGTTTTGAGTGGTTGGGCAGCTGGATGTAGTTATCCTCCATGATGAGACTGGTAATCAACTCTATGGTGGAACCTACTGTGAGCAGCCCTGTAGCTGCTTTAGGGATGTGGTCTGCTTCCAGTGTATAAGGAGAAGCTTTGAAGAAGGTCTCTAGCTTTTTTGGCAAATCTGGATCCTGCATTGGCCAAGTCTTCATCTCAGTGGCCTTCAATGTTGTATGCTGATCTTGAGACTGTTTCTGGATTTGATCTAGTGGCCTGCTGTGTTCCTTGATAATTTTTGGACTCTGCCATTTTACTTACCTACCTTGGGATAGTCAGCCTCAGCAGTGAGCAACTGTCTGAGTTAAGAGATGCCTCTAGCTTCAGTGGGCCAAGAGCAGAAGCAGATCTGAAGCTCAAGGTCAAGGGGCTTTCACTCAGCCCCTAAAGCTGGTACTTTTAACTCAGACTTCTAGCCTCTTAAGCTGTAATGATCGAAGCTGCACTGAAGGAATTGGCAAAAAAAATAAGGCTGCAGGAATTGATGGAATTCCCATTGAGATGTTTAAACAAATGAATTCTGCACTGGAGACACTTACTCATCTATGCCAAGAAATTTGGAAGACAGCCACCTGGCCAACTGATTGGAAGAGATCTATATTTGTGTACATTCAAAAGAAAAGTGATCTAACAGAATGTGGAAATTATTGAACAGTATTATTAATATCACATGCAAGTAAAATTTTGCTGATGATAATTCAACAGTATTCAACAGATAATGATATTCAATAGATGATGATATTCAACAGATAATGCAGCAGTATATTGACAGGGAACTTCCAGAAATACAAACTGGATTCAGAAGAGGATATGGAACAAGAGATATCATTGCTGATGTGAGATGGATCTTGGCTGAAATCAAAGAATACCAGAAAAAATGTTTACTTGTGTTTTATACACTATACAAAACCATTCGAGTGTGGGGATCATAAAAAATTACAGATAACATTGAAAAGAATGGGAATTCCAGAACACTTAATTGTGTCATGAGAAACCTGTGCATAGACCAGGAGGCTATCGTTCAAACAGAGCAAGAGGATACTGCATGGTTTAAAATCAGGAAGGGAGTACATCAGGGTTGTATCATTTCACCATACTTATTCAATCTGTATGCAGAGCAAATCATCTGAGAAGCTAGACTATGTGAACAAGAACGCAGTATCAAGATTGGAAGAAGGCTCGTTAATAACCTGAGATACACAGAA